CGAGATTAGACTCAACTCTTTGAACCCCAGACTAAAGAGAACCTAACGAGGACACTTACGCTAGATGATGGAAGTCGAGCGATAGAAAGCCTCTATGGCTATTGAAGAATAAGAAAGAACAATGAAAATGTCGTCTAACCGGCGCTTTAACTTTCCCCCCGAACTCCAATGACTTTTACTACGTGAGTCTCTCCGCAAAACGATCAAACTGCAAAACCAGCCTACCAGCTATCAACCGATCAGTATTCTATATTGCTTGGGAATGTTGTAGGAGCCCAGCGCCTTCACAGATTCAAGAAAAATGTTTACTCTAATGAGCTTATTCCTTCCGGGGAATTCGGTTATACGAGTAGATAGTAATTATACCTGTCGGACATATCTTTCCCCTAATGACCTTCCTGAAAAGCCTAAATCATCCAAAACACAAAAGTACCAACCAGTATCAGTTCTTCGATGTCGCAAAGGTATTCGATAAGGTCTGGTAAAACGGCTTTCTCTACAAGTTGCTTTCCCTTTTACACGTGCGGTGGGATCGTGTATACTATTCGAGCCTTCCCGTTGAATTGAAAACATTGTTTTTTTATTTCCAAGCAAATGGCACTTTCTTTACGAACCACCTTCCTCACAGCGGGAGTTCCTCAAGGCTCTCGCTTTTATGCCTTGCTCTTTTCGCTTTACTCGAGCGACATCCCTTAAGTGCCACAGGTTGAGCTCGCATATTTCGCGGATGACTTTCTCCTTTTCTATGTTGACAAATGCCGCTTAAGCCACTTCGCTTTGGGGCTTTCGCAAATTGGCTAAACTCCTACTGACGCGTGTTCTCTAGAACAGGAGCTATTTAAAACATCAGTAACTGAGACGCATATCGGGCAGAACCTATTCTAACCAACTCATTCTCAGAAAACGCAATCTCTCGCTACCCTAACGCGATCATGACTTTCTTGTGGTTCCTGCGCTCTAGGCTACTCTCTCCAGTGATATGGTGCCAGTTCAATTATCACAGTACTCCTTAAAATATCTGCAGCCTGGATCCTCACTATCAGGAGCAAAGATATGCGCGTTGTCCAGCCTTCGATTGCACTGGATACGATAAGTAAGCTTTACTATTATAATTACGACGGTGAACGCAGAAAATAACATTTCGTTAGACCACGCATTTGCAAGCCCTCCGGTGTCGCAGATGTTCATGGGCGGTGATCAATTACCATCAGGTGAGCTTTTTTCTATTAAAAAAAACCTAACGCGACCGTCCAGATACCACACCTGAGTAGCCCTCTCATTGACTAGGGCGGGGAAAGGGAAGAAAGAATATTAAGCCAACATTGTTCACCAACTATTATTGCTGATAAGTGCATGGAAATTGAAAAAGACAAGCCCGTGTCTTTGTAATTGGCTTTCAAATCTTAATTAACAAATAAAATGGATACGGATAAATAACTACTTCAAGTTTTACGCCCCTATTTATATCAGTAGTGGTAACGTCTCCAGAAGAGCCCTTGATGCAACACGGAAGCCGCGTAGTTTTTTAGAGCCACTGAATTATAAATATGGTATTTACTATTTAATTTGTAAAATAACGTAAATGTTACGTTACGACCATCTGAAGTTGAGTTTTAATGGAAGTCTTAGAAAAGAAAAGGATTTGTTATTTCCAAGCCCAAAGTTTACACCCCAATTCCTCCTAATAAATATACCGGAATCTGTGAAACGACTTTCAGGAAAATCGGATCCTTCGAACATGAAAACTTCCGACACCCTCATTGGACATGAACTAACTTCCTGTTGTTTTACCTTTCAGTAATATAATTTTAGGTATTTGTTCGTGAGAAAGCCTCTTTGGTAATTGATATTATTTCGGACGGTAGCTCTGTACTTATTTCAAGGCCCAAACTGAAAGTACTGAATTCACTACTAATCAAGTAAAATTTGCACATAAAATTAGTGTTAATATTAATAGATATTTTATACATAATACTATTATAACATATATTGTATATAAAATTATTTATTTTTGGATTTCTAAGTTTTTACAACACTTCTTTTATCTGTCAATCATCATCCTAATGTTGTTTCTTATTTCTGTGCCAACAGATGTAGAAATCGCTTTATTCAAATGTAGTGAAATTCATGTAGTGGTTCAGTATTATACTTCAGCATTAGAAGGAATAGTACTCCAAAAGTATAAAATTGGCAAATATTTTTTTCTCTATCTTTTCAAAATTCTTTGCACATTTTCTCACAATACCAAAAATAGATTTTTTTTACGAACAGTTGCCAAACGAGAAGACGGGTCACCTGATGTTAAGTGAATACCGCCGCCCATGGACATCTACTACACCCGAAGGTTACAGATGCGTTGACAACCTTTTGAAAATTTGGCTCCGGCTACCTCTCTCACAAGACGAAACGCGAAAGCATTTGTCATACTTCCACTTTTCGCTGGTCTTCTGTGAGGTCGTGGTACTTACCCGGACGGGCCTGCCCATTCGTGCAACAGCCCAGGCTGCTGCGTGGCCCTACCACCGTAGATTATACAATGTGAACGTGGTAGTATATTCACTGGAAGTTACGTTGTTGCATATATGTGAGTAGACAAATGAATATTATTCACAGTTATAATAAATGTTTATATCGGATTTAAAAAAAAAATCGAATAAACGAAAAAGTTTTATCTATTCATGGATAGTGTTCAAAAAAGATTTCTTAGATCGCCCATGATAAAGCTGTGATATATTACTGGCACGGTATTAGTCATACTACATTGATAGAATAGACTGTCGCTAGCGGCAGAAACGAGCCATCGCTATTTTGAAGGCGAGCCAAGACGTAGTGTGAGCAATCAATCGAAATCCCCGGTTGTTGCTGTGACGTAACTTCAATTAACTTCCTGTTATTCTTCTATGTAATGGGATTGAAATACTACTTTTGTGAAGCTAAATGAGATTTCATCTTCGAATCAATTCACAAAAGTGATTTTGAAGCGTCAATATCTTATTATTATCTTAGTTTTTTACTGCGGTAGCAACAACGGCCTCACAGAAGACAGAAGAAGAAGTAGAAGTATTATATTTTCGGGTTCCATTTGGTGAGTGAGGTTCGGAACCTACTTTTTGTAAATTTATCACTTCAGGTAACACGGCTGACTATTTACCAATTAAAAAAAATCTCAATTAGTAACTATTTACAAAATAAAAACAGTTTCTAGTGACTCTAAATTGAGATTTTCCAATAATATTTTTTTTCAACGTTAACAAAAAGTACGAATAATGTATCTTCTCTCGTATAATCACGATTAAAGTAATAGTGAAAGGTGAAGCTTATTGCCGTGGAATATACCATTAATTTCGACGACATATTGTTAGCAATATACTATCCAAGTGTCGTATGTCATACTTAAAACTAAAAAAGAATATGTAACAAATGTTTTAATAAAGAGTATAATTTAAAAAAGCTCAGATAAACGATGATTCAGCTAGTGATGGTAAATTTGAAATGTAACAATTGATGAAGTGACGGAATATTGCCAGTTATTCAATATTTATAATGAAAATTTAGTACTACTACGAGTATTTCGACTTTCGAGTTTTAAGTCAGAACTTAAAACTCGAAAGTCTGAAAACAAATACAAAAAATACGAAGTGTTAATTATTTGATCCGGTCTTCCAAATCAATAAATTCCACATTTATAAATGTACATGGAATGCAAATTTATAATTGTAACTATCAAAATCATACCATAATAAGAGCCGTTTGCGATACGAAAATTATATACAACATCTTTCACTACCAAATTAATAGATCTTCCTCGATCACTATCTTATCAAAAAAGGTATTTAAAATAATTATATTTTTGCATCAATATATCGTCCAATAAAATTATGAATTACACTCCTGTATATCTTTATATAACAGATATTAATTTCTTTAACTTTTCTACTCAATGCGACTACTGCTTATATGCAGTTCCGACGACTTTAATAAAAATAATTCTATTATTTGTGCTGAATGTAGCACACAATAAGAATGATGAGAATTAATATCAACGCTAATGTTTTACCTATATTACCTACGTTTTAGGCGTGCGTGTGATTGAATTCCTCTTAAACCAAAAGTCGACGAAAAACGTCAAATAAATGTATCGCGTAACGCCTAAATTGTCCTCTTCACAATTCCATAATGCCTCCAATTTACAATTTTCCTTTTGACGTCGGGCTGGGATCGCTCGGCGGTACAGACCTATTTCCATTCAGCGTGGGCGTTTCAAAACAATAGCTAATCTCTCAAGACATCCCTTTGTATGTTAAATATAAATGATAAAATTATTTAACTTGCGCCGCTCCTTTGCCAAAATGTTTTTTCTCTTCTTTAGCCAAAATGCAATTTTATCTATTTTTACTGGAAACTGTTACAATATTATTTTGTAATGAATGGACTAGAGATTTACTATTAAATCCAGATTATTGATTGGCTTATGTATCACGAACATTTTCCCTGACGGTACGTGTGGTATTTATGCGTGTCATTGTTATTATTTTTTTTTTCTAATTCATCCAAACTTTGCATGTTCAACAAACGTTTATTAGCTTTGTATTTAAGACTTTACTATCGGTGTGTTTCCATTTCGTGATTCCAACATAATATAATAAAAACAAGCCAACTGCGAGTCACGAAGTGTTCCGTTATCTATAAAAACGGCAAAAAAAAAATAACTTTTGTTCTATGGGAGCCCTACTTAAGAGTACATGAATTTCTTTCATTTACGGTAAGCGCTCGCAAAAGTTTCTTTGCACGACTTTGGATTCGTCTTGTTGGACTAATAAGCAGACCAACTTTAGTCATACCCAACTTTTTAAACATTGTCAACGCCTGTAAACCCTATGTTTCATATATAAATGTGGTATTTACTTAGCAACAGGTGGACCTCCAGATCGCTCGTCAACTCATCACAAGGAATTAAACTACGTATGCCCTGTAAATTGCGTCTGTTTGAAGCAACTCACCGTGCACCCGTGACCACTGGGCTGGCGGCTTCCAATCGGGGTAGTGCTTCGGGAATTTCTCCCGCGTCCAATACGTGTGCATGACCATCCGGTAGACGGTCATCTTGTCCGGATTGCACGCTTCCGTGTCCCCGGGCGACAGCGGCGCTGCGGCGACCGTCGACGCCAAAAGCAGCGTGAGCCACATCATCCTGTATATCAACAGCACGGCATTCACTAGGCGTCTTCGCCTAGCATCGTTTGCAAACGCCGATCATTTTAATCGTTCCCGCAGAATCTGTAACAAAAGGGATGTTTTCAACACACACGATAACGATTTTTAAACGGTTTTATTTAGCTCGATCCGTGCGGAATTTATTAGTTTATTTATTTGGGTCAAAATTAGAAATTGAAATTTAAGCAGCTTCCCGTTATCAGATTGATCTGAAATTTGGTACACACATTTAATTTAGATGACAATAAAATGTTGTAGTTTTCAGTGCACATAAAATAAAACCGTTTAACTTAAAAGTTTTTAAACGGTTTTATATTATTTGAATATGCCCTTACCGTGTCAAAATCTACATTAGAATAAACATCGACGAAAAGTTCTATAGTGAAATAGCACTTAATATTTAATTTAATGTAGAAATATATAAGTAGTATTGCTAAGCATGTTAGATTAGAATAAAAACTATTTTCTTCTCCCTTACCACAGGCACATTAGCATCTACATTCTAAATCTATGGGCACATCCGTAGTTATTTAGTGATGTTAAAATGGATAATGTTTTCATCCCAACAGTTATGAATGAACTTTTTCTGTTGGTGTCTCTAGATGATCTTAAGTCAACGAACCCATCTATTCTCGTCTCTTTGAGGTGAGATATCGGTTAAATTAACGCCACGGACTGTTGACGCACGTGCCTGTCTGGAAGTGGAGTGGTCGATTTTAAACGGTCGCGTCTATCTTAGCATTAAAGACAGAAATAAATGGAATATTCATAATCATAACGTTCATTGAAATAGTTTTAGTGGTCAAATTTTAGAAGCAGTTTAACAATGTCTCAAATTCTCGATCAACTTAACGTCTAGTTAATAGTTGTGTAACGACTCTATAACAATCTATGATGTTTTAATAAAGATGACGTATGTCCATACTGCGCGGCGTTTAAAAATTGTTCCACTTTACATTATGGTCATATAATTCATATATATCTATATATAAGTGGATGTGGCAGATGATATAGAACGTATGATACGGAAAGAGATAGCATTCTATAGAATTGCAATCTAATAACACCAATTGGCTTAATTTAAGTGCCTCAGTTTAGTTGCGCTAGTGCCATATCCACCACGTATTTGTATATAACATCATTGATTACAATGCACGGTAAGCACTAGAAGATGTTTCCATTTCAATTTCATGGCCCAATCATAGGTGTTAAGTTTACAATGTGCTACGTTATAAAACAGCAATTTGTTTAAAAAATTAGAAAAAAATTAAGTGGACAAATGCGACGGACGTAAACACCTCGTTCCACGCCACTTAGGGCATTGCAATACGTTCGCCGTAACACGTATTGTCAAGTCCGTCCCAGTAAGTACCACGAACTCACAGAAGTCCGGAACTCCGGCGTGAAGTCGAAGTGTTATCACTACATAGTATAAAACAAAGTCGTCCCGCCGTCTGTCTGTCCCTATGTATGCTTAGATCTTTAAAACTACGCAACGGATTTTCGTGCGGTTTTCTTTACTAGATAGAGTGATTCAAGGGGAAGGTTTATATTTATACTACATTACACCCGTGCGAAGCCGGGGCGGGTCGGTAGTATATTATAATGCAGAAGCATATCGTCTGGTGAGTGAGGTAGCTGGGGTTCACTTTATTAAAAAGGTCGCGTCTGCTACAAAGTTCTTCGGGTGTTACAAATGTCCATGGGTGGCGGTAATCACTTAACATTAGGCGAACCGACAACTCCCTTACCACCTTATCACATAAAAAAAACTTTAGAAATTACGACTCTAGGCGTTTAGTAACGAAAGCCCTGAAAAACTCCGTCTAATACTCTATCCTTTTCTCTCTCCGATAAAGATTCTCTGTCGAGCAATAGGCTCTTACGAAACCTAACTGATATGGAGAAACATTGGGAATTAATTTACGAAACGCGAACAGTTTCATGGAGAACCGATAAACTTTATTACCTTTACGGGGCGCCGGATCATTTCCTCTAAACTGTTAACTGAACTCCAAATGCCTTAACGTTTCCCGTTAAACGTCGATCGGCAATAGACCAGATGGTAACTATTTAAATGGCTACAGAGGCTTTCGCTTAGCAATAAAGGTTTAAAACGTTTGAATACAAAAGGTCACTTGTACTGTCCATGCAAATGACTATCAGATTGCTGCCAATTAAATACGACTACAATTACACACGGCATTAGCTTATTTTTTGAAGCTCTTTTCTTTATTAAAAACATTGCCCTTACTTTAGAATAACATTATCCTGTGTTGTAAGGACGTTTCACAAACATAAATTTCACGCAGAAAAACACCCAGATGCGAAAGAACTATTTGTGGGTTACACAAATAGTTAACCGTGTGGGAGTCGAAACCACGCCGAAGCCAATACCTTGACAAACTGCACCACGGAGTCATCCAAGGTTATGAACTTTTTTTTTACTCAACTATATAAACTTTGGATCCAAAATGCGATACATTTCAGTTATTGACTACCACTGTCTACAAGCAGAATGTTTTAGTTTTTTTGCACTTTCATGTTACATTTATCATATCACACAAATTCATATCTATTCGCGTCCCGGCTTTCGTGCTAAAATTATTAATGGACTTAACATGCCCGCTTTAATAATCTGGACCGTCGCCATACTATGACACTAACAATAATTCGACTCTAACAAGAAATTGTAGTGTCTGCTTTTTTATTCTGCGCCACGAATCACGCATTTTTTTATTATAAATATGGATTTTTTTGTTGTTACAGTTCTCGGAACACTTGCTCGAAACTACTTGATCTAAACCCACAGTAATGGTAAAGGTTTTAAGAATAAAGCATTCTTTTTAATGCATCAACCAGTCTAAAATCTTGTAAGGTTTTTGTTAAATTGTTCCTCATAAATATTCATAAATATTGTTTCTTGTTTTATAATATTCTCTTAGATCCACACTTTTATTAATGTTCTATGTTGTTTATTGAAGTGATAAATAAAGCAATGATTAGTATGTAAAAGCTTAAGCACACCAAAAAAATTATATTAATTTAATATGTTGGGTGATATTTCGGGTCTAAAACGGACACAGAATACATTATGTCATTTATAAGCAAAATATCCAGGTAGGCAAAGTTTTAATAAACACACAGGTAGTCCCAAACAAAACAATGTAACAAAATAACACGTCATTAATATTGATACACCGGGAAAGTCGCTTTGTTCAAAGTTATTTTATAAATAAAGCTGTCAGAGTAATTAAATATTATTAATACACGAAGACTTAACAATACTTTATTTTACTTACGCGAACAAAACGGAAAAAACCATCTTCCCGTGTAAAATCCGTAAATATGTATATTTGACAAAACTTAAATAATGACTTCTTTTATTTATGCGAATACTACACACGTTTTAGTAAAACTAATTTACGGTTTCTATTTCGCGGTTTATTTTTTTATTTTAAACAGCCGACATACCATCAGATCCCCTTTTATCTATAAAATTAAATCCAGAACGAAGCGCACCACTACAGCAAGACTTCATTTTAGCCTTTCTTGCGTGGATCGGAATAAGATCAATAAGTTTCTAACTGAGCTCAGTCATGAAATAAACGCTGTAAAGCATTCGAAACGTTTAATCACTACATAGTATAAAACAAAGTTGTCTCGCTGTCTGTCTGTCCCTATGTATGCTTAGATCTTTAAAAGTACGCAACGGATATTGATGCTTTTTTACTAGAGAGAGTGATTCAACAAGAAGGTTTATATGTATAAAACATTGCACCCGTGCGAAACCGGGGCGGGTCGCCAGTGTGTAATTTTTTTTAATGCGAAAAGTTGTCAAACGAGCAGACGGTTCACCTGATGTTAAGTGAATACCGCCGCCCATGGACATCTGCCACACCCGAGGGTTACAGATGCGTTGACAACCTTTTCAAAACTGGGCTCCGGCTACCTCACTCACCAGACGAAACGCGAAAGTATTTGTCATACTTCCACTTTACGCTGGTCTTCTGTGAGGTCGTGGTCCTTACCCGGACGGGCCTGCCCATTCGTGCAACAGCCGAGGCTGCTGCGTGGCCCTACCACCATATAAAAAGTAAACCGCGTTAGCATCCGTAAATTAAATTTATTAAAAAAAATCTTTAATATCGCTCAATAACAAGCGGCTTTGTATGAAGAAGTAGCAGGCCCCTTCTATTCACTTTTTGCGTTTTGTGTTACATGGAGAGGGTATTTTAAATATAAATCACCCAAAAAGCATTGAAAACGGAATCGCTTTAAAAATAACAAATTGTTTAAAAGCTTCTCACTATCCAATGCAGCTTTTTTTTTAAATTTCATGACAGCACGGAATTACTGGATTAATTAAGGTCGCTGCTGAGGCTAATACATTGCACTGTCATAGCGACCTACAAACATTTTTAAATAAGAATGATTTGTTGACGAAATTACGGTCAACTAAAGTTTGTATTTGTGTTTTAGCAACAATAAACGAAATGTTCCTTTACAGAAAAAAGCGTTTACATCATTGATAAATACTTACAAAATTACAATGAAATACTTACTAAATTACAATGTAATTTGAACTTAAAGGCTAAAGGTAAATATAAAAGTTTATTGAGCGGGAAACTGACATGCGCGTATGCCTGGACGGACATAAGTTCCACCCTTAGTTTTAACTTTTATAACGCGATTGATACCGCATCTATCACGGCAAGAGGCCAGCATAGGATAAGTAGTTTCTCTTCTTTGAGAACAACAACCTGGCCCTTTTGAATGGGATTGTTAGCGGTGTTCCATTTTTCACGGTTTTCTAAGATTGTCAGATATTCCACATGCCATCATTTCCAAAAGCTTTGAACAAGTATATCAACTAACGCGTATCTTTGGAACTGTAACTTTGTAATGAAACATCTGAATAATCTTCAGCCGATATATATTAAAGGGGTGTCAAATTAAGAAAGTGCGAAGGAGTT